ATATATATATATATATATATATATATATATATATATATATATATATATATATATATGTATGTATATATAAAAGAAGAATAACAACGACTCCCAAATAAAAATAATAAATTAATTTAATAATAACAACAAACAAAACAAAGAAGAAATAAAAAACAAAGAAAACAGAAAAACACGAGAAGCAGCGAAAGACAAGAGAAAGCCTCAGGCAGCAGCAGCAGCAGCTATTGCTGCTGCTGCTGCTGCTGCTGCTGCTGCAGGAGCAGCAGGCGCTGCTGCTGCTGTTGCTGCTGGTATTGTTGCTGCTGATTGTTTCTGCATGCGTTTTGGGGTGTATGTACACCTCACCACCGCAACACAACATATAACATCAGCTGTTGTTTTGTTTCTGTGTATCTAGGGTTTAGGGTTTAGGGTTTAGGGTTTTAGTTGCAGTGTCTGTCTCTCCTTGTTTCATTTACACTATCACTGCATGCATGCAACATACACCTCACTCTGCATGCATGCATGCATGCATGCACCCTGCATGCATGCATGCATGCAGCATACACCTCGCTCTGCATGCATGCATGCATGCATGTATGCAAACCACACCCTGCATGCATGCATGCATGCATGCATGCATGCATGCAGGGTGAGGTGTATGTAGAGCAGGGTTAGAGTGGGGTTTGTGTTAGCTGCCTGGGTTGTCTGTGTCTTTTGTTTTTGTTTGTTCTTCAGTATGAGGCTCTTCTTCATCGCTTTCTTCCCACCATTCGTTTGCTGCTGCTGCTGCTGCTGTTGCTGCTGCTGCTGCTGCTGCTGCTGCTGGGGCTGCTTCATCTGCTCCTGCTGCTGCTGCTGCTCCTGCTGCTGCTGCTGCTGCTGCTGCTGCTCTACAGAGACTCGTTGCGAAGGCCTTGGGCCTCGCCCGCCGCCGCCGCCGCTCGCAGAGATCGTCGATCCCGTGTGCAACCCTGCAGCAGCAGCAGCAGCAGCAGCAGCAGCAGCAACAGCAGCAGCAGCAGCAGCAGCAGCAGCAACAGCAGCAGCGGCAGCAGCAGGAGCAGCAGCAGCAGCAGCAGAAGCAGAAGCAACAGGACCGTTCGTGTTGGCTTTATGTGTAATGCAGCTATCGTTATAGAGAGAGAAAAGAGACAGAAAGAAATAAAGGAGACAGAGAAAGAGAAGGGAGACAGAAGAGACAGAGAGGAGACAGAAGAGACAGAGAGGAGACAGAAGAGACAGAAAGGAGACAGAAAGAGACAAAGGAGACAGAAAGAGGCAGAGGAGACAGAAGGAAAGGAGACAGAAAGAGACAAAGGAGACAGAAAAGAGAATAGAGAAAAACAGAAGAGACAAAGGAGACAGAAAGGAGACAGAAAGGAGACAGAAGAGACAACAGTAAAGAGAGAAAGACAGGAGACAAAGGAGACAGTAGCGAGACAAAGGAGAGACAATAAAATAAAGTAAAAATTAAAAAATAAAAATAAATTAAAACAAAATAAAATAAAGCA